AGAACAACTGGCAGCGAAAGGGTAAACCTATTTGGGTTGCTGACTTGTGGAAAGACATTGCAGCTCAGATAGAGAGACTGGAGGTAAAAGTGCGTCATGTAGATGCACACGTGCCTCTGAGTCGAGCCACTGAGGAACATCGACACAACCAACGAGCAGATGAGGCTGCTCAGGTGTTCCAAATAGACTTAGACTGGGAACATAAGGGTGAGCTCTTTCTGGCTTGATGGGCCCATGACACTTCAGGTCATCAGGGCAGAGATGCAACATACAAATGGGCTCGTGACCGAGGAGTGGACTTAACCATGGGCACTACTGTGCAGGTGATCCACGACTCTGAGATGTGCACTACAATTAAGCAAGAAAAACAGATTAAACCTTTGTGGCATGAGGGGAGGTGGTCAAAGTACAGGTTTGGGGAGGCCTGGCAAATTGACTACATCACACTGCCTCAGAGCCGCCAGGGTAAGCACTATGTGCTTACAATGGTGGAAACAAGTACAAGATGGCAGGAAACATGTCCTGTGCCTCGTGCCACAACCCAGAACACCATCCAGGGCCTTGAGAAGCAAATCTTGAGGGGGATGGTACTCCAGAAAGAATTGAGTCAGACAATGGGACTCATTTCAAAAACAGCCTTGTGACTGCCTGGGCTAAAGAGCATGGTATTGAGTGGATCTACCATATCTCATACCATGTACGGGCCTCAGGGAAGATGGAAAGGTACAATGGAATGTTAAAAGCTACCTTTAATGGAATGGGTGGAGGAGTTTTCAAAAACTGGGACAAAAATTTGGCAAAGGCCACTTGGTTAGTTAACCCCAGGGGATCCACCAGTAGGGCCGTTCCTGCTCAGTCAGACCTTCTACACACAGTATATGGGGATAAAGTCCCTATGGTATGTGGGAAAAGTGTTTGTGTTCTTCCTGCTTCGGGTAAAGGCACACCTGTCCAGGGTGTTGCTGTTGCTTAGGGACCTGGACATACCTGGTGTGTGATGATGGAGGATGGTTGTTCTGGTTTGACTGGGTGGGTTTTTTGGTGGCTCCAGTAAGAAGCTGAGAAGCTCCCCCTGCTCCAAAACCAGCCAAGGAGCCATTAGAGGGACAATAGATGTGCCTCTGCGAT